ATCGTCGAGAATCGGGTTCAAATGATCTCGTATCGCTTTTGGCCTTGAAACGTGAAGATTGATAGCTGCACCAGGTTCTAGATCTCCCGTGTTGTTTTGCATTTGGAGTTGATTTGAATGTTCTCTGATTCTTTGGATTCGCAACCTTTGTCTGAGTCGATTGTACTTTGTTAAAGATGGCAAACCTTCAATGAAGTCCATTGTAATCACTTCCAAGCATTGTTTGGGACATGAATAGGTTGTAACAACCCTGGCTTAGGAATATGCTCTATTTTAGTTCTCTGACACATTTTACACTGTTTATATGCTCTTGAATCTGAATTTTCATTCTTGGCCAGAAGAAATAAGACTTAATTCTTTGATAATTAGCTTGAATACATGAGTGACCTCCTTGTGGTGAATCATGTAAAGCCACAATTATATTCTATCTAAGGTCCCCTTTGCTGCCCACAAAAATCCTATTTTTGAAATACAAGACTCTTTTAACTAATTTCCAGTCCTGTAGTTTATCTGGTTGAATAACTAGAATAAATTTTTTTTCTTGTGCTATAACATCTTCTTAATAACTCTTTTCAATGTCCTGTACCCAAGTAGGTGTTATAACAGTAACCCTTATTTGAACAAATGCACCAGAATTCATTTGTTGTCTAGAGAGTGCATCTACAACTTTATTAGACTTGCATTTTCTGTATTGAATAGTATAATCCAGCCCCAATAACTTTATAAATCATTTCTTCTGTATAGTTGTAGTTAACTTCTGTTCTAGTAGATGTTTTAAAGGCACATGATATATTTTAATGACAAAAGAACCACTCTCCAAATAATGTCTCCAGTGAGAAACTGCCATTAAAATGGCCAAATACTCTTTCTCATAGATTGAAAGATCTGCATGCTTAGGAACCAAAGCTTTACTCAAATAAGCTATAGGTCTCCCTGCTTGAGAAAGAACAACCTCAATACCTTTGAAACTAGCATTAGTTTCAAAAAAAATTCTGCTCAAAATTAGGCAAAGCCAAAACTAAAGCATTACACATAACTTCCTTTAACTTTTCAAAAGCTGATATAGCTTCTTGAGACCAATGAAACCCATCCCTTTTCAGCATATTTGTTAAGGGTTTACTCAACTCCCCATATCCTCTTATGAATTTTCTTTAGTATCCAGTTAAACCCATAAATCCTCTCAAAGCTTTCAAATTCTTAGGTAAAGGCCACTGTTGCATGGCTTTAATCTTAGCAGGACCAGTTGCCACACCATAAACTGAAATTAAGTGCCCTAAATATTCCACTTGCTGCTGTTCAAAGAAGCACTTACTTCTTTTGGCATATAACCTATTCTTCAACAGAACCTCCAACACAACTCTTAAGTGTTGTTTATGCTCTGTCATACTAGGACTGTAAACCAAGATATCATCAAAAAAAATACAAGAACAAACTTCCTTAGATATGCTCCGAACAAATCATTCATCAAACCTTGAAAAGTAGTTGGAGCATTAGTAAGACAAAAATGCATTATTTTAAATTCATAGTGTCCTTGGTGAGTCCTAAAAACAGTTTTGTGAATATCTTCATCCTTAATTCTAATTTGCCAATATCCAGACCTCAAGTCAATTTTTAAAAAGAAAACAACCCCATTCAATTAATCTAACAAGTCCTCCACTATAGGAATAGGAAACTTATTTTTAACTGTAACAGAATTAAGTTTCCTATAATCCACACAAAATCTCCAAGTTCCATATTTCTTTTTAATAAGTAAACAAGGGGAAGCAAAAGGGTTTTTACTCACCTGAATAATAGAAGAGGACAACATTTCAGCAATCTACTTCTCAACTTCAGCCTTATGATGATGAACAAATCTATAGGGTCTAAAATTTACTGGTTGTGTTCCTTGTTTAAGGACAATCGCATGGTCATGTTTCCTTCTATGAAACATTCCTCTTGGCTCTTTAAATACTTCTTTAAACTCTTCCAGTAGGTCTTGTAGTGGAAGACGAGTTACACTTTCTTCAACTTCAGCACTCAGCAAATAAATCTCCCCACTCAATTCAGTGTATTTTTCAGCTAGCTTCTGAAATTTCTCACATGTGATGGTTTTGATTAGTAGTAACTTTTGAGATCCTTTAATAATAACAGTTTTCCCATCCTTCTCAAAACTGATAGTCTTAGTTTTAAAGTCCATCATTATAGGGTTGATCCACCCCCAATACCATGTCACTACCTCCCAAAGATAGTACTCTAAAATCATGCTGAAATTCATAGCCTTGTATCTTCCAACTCACCTTGTTGCTTCTAGCAGTACTAAACAACTTTTCACCATTAACTACTATAATAACTAATGGCTGAGTGTGAACCAATTCAACTCCTTCCTTGGCCCACTTAGGAGTCACAAAGCTATGAGTATTGTCACTATCAATCAGCACATTAATAGGTTTCCCTCTGATGCAGCCCTGAATCCTCAAGGTAGTATGTCCCACATTTCCTGTAATAGCATTGATAGAAATCTCCAAGGCTTCTTTTGCTAGTTCTTCCACCTCCCTAGGCTTTCCTTCTGTCAACTCTTGTTCAACAGATTCCTTTTATTCTTCCATGCAATTCAGCTGTTTGATTTTGCACTAGTGCCTAGGAGCAAATTTTTCCGCACATTTAAAATACAAATTGTAGGTTCTTCTATATTCCAGCATACTCTGCTTTGTGTTTGTATTAGGATGAACTGACTTAGGCAAAAAATTCTTATTTCCACTGCCTTGTTAACTACTTGAAGGAGTGTAAGAAAAATTTTTATTAGGAGATTTATACTTCTTCCCTTCAATCTCATTAGCCAACTCATATAATTTAGCTTGCCTGTAAGCTTCAGATAAGTTCTTGGGCTCTTACACTTTCACTTTATGTTTTAATTCCTCTTTGAGGTCACTAACAAAACTGGAAACAAAATAATCCTCCCCCAAATGCATGTTCTGTTGTAACAAGTAGGGTCTTAACTCCTCAAACTTTTCTTGATACTCCTCCATACTCCCTTCTGCATTAGCTTATTGAATTCTTCAATAATATCAGAATTGTTTCTGTCACAAAATCTGTGACAGAAATCAGCCTCAAATTCATGCCAAGTAATCCTATACTTATGCATAATGTAACCATCAAACCAGGTCTCAACCTTCCCAGTTAAATACATAGCAACTATTTCCAGTTTCTACTCTTCTGGTATTCCAAACAGATTAAAAAACTTCTAACATTTCCTAATCCAACCTCTAGGATTGTTACCATCAAACATTGGTAGCTCCAATTTTGGTCTAGGTAACACATAACTTGTGTTCCCAAAAGGGATTTTAGAGTAATTTCTAGTGTCAACATGTTCTCCTCCCATTTTAATCTCACTAGAACTACCTATATGATTTTTTCTTGCAATTTTTGATTAAAAGGTGGATTACCAGTAAACCCCACAGGTTTAGAAGTTAATATCCCTGGTTTATTAGGTTGAAAAATATACTTCTCATGCTCACTAAGAACTGTAACTAAGCATGGATGCTTACCTTCATTTTGTTTTGCTTTGTAGCTGCTGGAGGCAAAGATTCAAAAAACGGTCGTGTAACGGTATAACGACCGTTATATCGTGCTATCGGTGGCCCCCGTTACCGATATCAACCGAAATCATGGTGTGAAACGGAATCAAACCCATAATAGCCGATAACGGCCGTAATTTAACAGGTAACAATTGATCGCGGCTATAACAGACCGTTTTTTCCGGTAATCCCCGTTACAACATCAGACCAGGGTTTCAAATCGCTGTTGCATTTTCGGTTATTTCAGATTTACCGTGATTGCAGCCGTCGCGGGTGCTATTGCGGCTGTCGCGGACGCTATTACGGCCGTCGCGGGTAACTCGGACGGCGACGAAACCGCTATATCACGGCCGAAATCGCGGTCGCGGATCATTTTTTAAAACCCTGCATCAAACATAACCAACAACACAATTACTTCAAAAAAATAGCAATTCAGTTTCCTTTACAGCAAAAGTAAAATAAAAGTAAAAATGAAAGAATATATTCTCTGTAAAACCTGTAAAAATCAGTTTACTTTACATCAAAATTGAAAAAAAAAGTAATCACAAATTCACAATTATTGAATCGGTACAAAATATAAAAATAAAAAGTAACAGAAGAAGCAAACCCAAATTGAAATCTAAATTTGTTTGCTTGCAACTTCAAAAATCCTCTCAAATTTCACTGTCCCAAACTCAAAATAAAAGAAAAATCAGAAGGAAAAAAGCTTTCACTTTGAAGAGAATCTCACAATTTCAAGTAAGTAAAATACCTGATTGTTAAGTTCTTCCTTCTTGTAATATGCAGCAACCAACATAGGTATGAAAAAATTTTTGACAGAAACTCTTCACAAATCCATCAATTTTTTGTAGTTTTGTGGATATTTTTTGTAGAAATAACAAGAAAAATTTAAGAAAGGTAACAAAGAAAAGAAAAGGGATGCATTTGAAAAAAAAACATCTTTGATGCTTTTGCGTTCTGCCTCTATCCCTATGCCCCTCCATTTTCACGTAAGAAGAAGATAGGTTTTATGTTTTATCTATACCCGTTAGGGATTTCAAGATTTTTTTAAGTTTTATTTCTTATTATTATTATTTTTTACTTTTAATTTTTAGGCTTTTTGGGTTTGAAGTTTGGACCCAAACCATATAAATTTAAATGGAGTATTTGGGTTATTGTTATGTTATGGCCTTATGAATTTACCCCATATAATTAAATAGATTAGTCTATTTAATTAGTTATTATTATGGCCTTATGAATTTTTTAAAACAAATGTTGAATTTAAATTTTATATACTTCAATTATTTTTATTATTTATTAGTTTATGTAATAAACTTATTTTTTCACTGTTAATAATGTTTATTATTTTTTGTATTATGTTATTGATAACAGAAGTAATGAATTGCTTATATTTCTAAATTCTAACTTTTTTGGCTTTATGTTTCTTGTATATAAATAAAAATAAAGCATGTCACCACTTGAAGAGTTTCTGACGAAAATATTAGAAGGTGCACACTCCAGTGCCAAATGCAAGAGGAAGCACTGCATGTAAACTATGGGGTAAAGTTGTGAAAGGAGGAATAACACGATTTAAAGAAAACATTGCTCATAAAGCCATAAAGGTTGCACTATGCCCTAATGTTACTGGTATGTGATATTTTTATTATTTTTTTAAATTTTACTATAAATTTATTGATATAGATTATATATAATTGATAACAATACAAAATTGACATTATTTTTATTTTATTAACAGGTGTCATTAGGGAAAGTATGATGAATTTATTAAAAGAAGGAAACAAAAAAATAGACAAAAAGAGGAGAACATAAGAATTCTTGTCCTAGTTAAGAGAAGAGGGGGATGAAAATGAAGGATTCATTGATGAGATTGATGCAATTAGGCGCAACTCGAGAAAGTATCAAATCACAACATGAGTGGCACAGAAGAGAAGAATTAAGACGAAGTACTGGTGGTTGGAGTAATATTTATGAAGAAGGGCGACCTTCCCATGGATCAGTTGGAGGATATCGTCGAGAAAGAACAAGTAAATCCATCTCGAGTGAGTCTGAGTTTACCTTACGAGAAGCTACACCTTAATTGGTTAGAAGTACAAGCTCAAAACAACCAAAGGTCAGTGGTTCTTTTTTAAAGACTTTACACAAGAAGATGAGTGAAGCAGTATCTAAATTTTTAATTTATGAACGACTTCCTTTTCAATTAGCAAGTTCTCCATGGTTATATAATTTAATTCAAGTGTCAATAGAAGTTGGAAAAAATGTTGTCAGCGTGTAAAGCTGCCAACACCTTATGAGGTTTTAGATGTGTATTTGATTGAGTAAATAGATTGAAGACTCATTGGAAAGATTTCAGTGCAACTCTAATGTGTGATGGTCGGACCAACAGTTTAAACCAAATGCACATCATTAATTTCCTTGTTTATTGCAGTAAAGGAACCGTTTTCTGGAAATCCATAGATGTCTCAAGTGTTCGTAGCAGAGATGCTGAGTTCTACTACAACTTGTTAGATTAAGTTGTAGAAGAAATTGGAGAAAGCTACATTGTCCAAATAGTGACTGATAATGAGGCAGCAATGAAAGCCGTTGGAAAAAAATAATGTTAAAAAGAAAGCATCTATATTGGACCTCATATGCAGCTCATTGTTTGGATTTATGCCTTGAAGATATTGGAAAAAGGCCTAGTGTAGCAAAAGTGTTAGAAGAGGCTAAGAAAGTGACTTGTTTCATATACAATCACATTTGGACTATTGATCTAATGAAGAAGTATACACAAGGGAAGCAAATACTTCGACCAGCTCTTACTCGATTTGCAACTCATTTCATCCAACTTGAAGAGATAACAAGACAAAAGCAAGGTCTGAGAGAAATGTTTAATTCAAAGGTCAGTATTTTATAATTAGTTATATAATTACTTAAATATAACAATCTTTAATGATTTATTATTTGTAAATACTTTAAATTATATAATTTTAATTTTTTATGAATATACATGAATTTAAAGACTCAAAATGGGGATAACAAAAGACAGGGCCAGCTTATGAAGCCAAGAAGATTATTTTGGGAAAAGATTTTTGGAAAAAAGCAAACGACCTCATAAAAGTTTACGAGCCCTTAGCGAAAGTATTGAGACTTGTGGATAGTGATGAAAAACCAATAGTGGGCTTTATTTATGAAGCTGTTGATAAATCAAAACGGGCGATTCAACAAGATTGTCGATATTTCACTGAGTATGAAAAGATTATTGACAATAGGTGGAATTTTATGCATTCTGACTTGCATTCAGCCGGTAAGATAAAATGTTTCATATAATTGAGAATTATTTTTATATTTTATTATAGATGAAATTTTATTACTTTAAGCTCTAAATTATTATTTAATGATATTCTCATAAATTATGCTTAGTTTATTTTCTCAATCCTCAATTTCAATTTGGGGTGGAGCATTATGATAATGTATTGATAGAAACATTAGAAGGTATAAGATCAGTAATTGAAAGATTAGAACCTTCTCTTGACACTCAAGTCTGAATGGTTAATCATGTTAGATTCAAATATTATTATTTGTAACTTAATTACATAATTTGAAAATATTTTTTTCTTCATTTTTTCTTTATCTTTTATTTATGCAGTTGTTACTATTTCGAGATAAACATGAGACATTCGGTACTCCACAAGCACAGAGAGCTTGGAGCCAAATGAATCCAGGTAAATAGTTAACTAAATTATTTAATTTATATTATTTAGTTATATTATACATTTTTAATTTATTTTGAAATTTAAACATTATTTTATAGCTAAGTGGTGGATAATATATGTCACATGTGTTCTTGAGTTACAAAGATTAGCAATTAAAGTGCTTAGTCAAACAACTACTGCATCAAATTACGAATGAAATTGGAGCATATTTAGCTATATTCACACCAAGGCAATAAATAGGTTGAAGTATAAAAGACTTGAGAAACTAGTGTTCACCTATTACAATATGAGGCTTCATATTAGACATCAGAAAAGAACGAGCATCGATGATATAAACACTAGTTTTAATCCTATCAACCTTGATCATATCTTTAAAGATGTTGATCCATTATCAGAATGGCTTCAAGAGAAAGAGAATCCATTGTTAGATGGTGAAATTGTCGGTGTGTTTCCTGTGGATACCTCAGATGATGAAACGAATGTTGATGAATCTCAACAACAAAATTTGGCTCATTCAAGTTCTAGTGCAACACCAAGTCAAAGTGGTGATGGACTTGATGGTGGTGGTTTAAGTCCAATTGATGATGATGATGATGATGATAATGGTGGTGGTGGCAGAGATAAAATTAGGTCTTCTAGTCTATATAAAAGAGAATATGAGGTTGGTACCACTAGTGGACATTTCCGTGATAGATCGAAATTTGGTGAAAATATATCTCCGAAAGGAACCTAAAGCTCCATCAAAAGGAAAGTGCAAAAAGCATACTTCTGTAGGCTCTTCATCTAATAGAAGATCAAGTTCTAGTAAACTTGGGCAGGGAGATTCATCTACTAACACACAAGGTTTTTATCCACCAGAACAATTTCCATATTTCCAACCTTCACATGGTTATCCATAACCATATGGTTATTATCCATCATTTTCTAATTATGGTGTGCCATATCAACCTCAAATGTATCCTCTGCCACCAATGTATCCTCCGCCACCAATGTATCAACCACCTAAACCTCTCATTTATCCTCCTCAAATATATCCTCCACATCAATTATATGAAAATCAAGGTGAAAATGTTACTTTTTTGGATATGTTTTTGGACAAAGGCCATAAGAATCAAGTCAAGAAGGCTCTCAAAATGAAGGTGAAGGATCTGAACCTCCTCGTCATTCCACTGATTAGTGAAAATTAAATTCTTCCTCTACCACTTGAAATGTATGTTTTTTTAAATAATTGGAGTCTTTGGTTGATGGAATTCGATGAAACTCAATTGAGAAAATATTTATGAAAGTTGCTTTTGCTGCTAGGTTTTTTTATTGTAACACTGATGATAGCTCAAGATAGTGGCAACATTTTCAAAGGCTTTGAGTCTTCCTAGTTTTGCAGTGCTAGTGATGCAATACTGCCTGATTTTGGTCTAAAAACCTGCCAATGCGTATCATGTACTTTTATCATGAGGGAAAACGATTTAATACTTGTGTAATTTTTCCACAACAGAGCTTCTATGTGTGTATTCTGTTACAATCTATTTTTTTTACTTCCTTGCAGTGGTTGTTCCTTGTTGGTATCAATGAGAATGGGAATGATTTCTCATGCTTCACGTAGTGTTGATGCTGTTATACTTGTACTGTTATATTTTTGTTGTGTGGTCTATTTCCTGCTCTCTTTGTGGATGTGTGATGATATGAATTTCTGTATTTGCACTAGGAGGCTTTTCTTGTTTTTACCCCGCAATGAAATTTGTTTGAGATGTTGACTGCCATGTATCCTATTACAGTTTGCAGTCCATTAAATCATCAAATGAGAAAAAAGTAAAGGCTTTAAGTTTTGAATATTGTTCTTAGTGAGCTTACTGATAATAAGTCTATAAGTGTTAGAAAATACTCTAAAAATCATTAAAAGTGATTTTCTATAATTATAATTATAATTACTATATTTTATAATAAGTTGTGCGAATTTCAAAAAAATTCATGTCCGCGACACCCGCAGTGACCGCGATAACATCCGTTACGTCCACAACCGCGATAGCAATTTGAATCCCTAGCTGGTGGTTGACTCTTTTCTGACCGAGGTGAATCTTTTTCCTCAGCTGCCTGATTGACCAACTGTAGGATTCTCTGCAAATAGCCTATGTTTTCAATCATTCCCTCTTCATATGTTTGTATCCTTCCTTTCAGCTCTGCTTTCTGCCCAGTCCACCAAGATGGTAAAGTCTCCTCCTTAACCTCCACTGCTTGTTCTGGTACCTCTATGGTTCCAGTCTTTTGCATCTTTCTTGTCTCTCCTAGCGTGAAAATTGTTTTGGATCACTAAACTCAGCTCTGATTACCAATTTGTTATGTTTTAGGGAAAATAAGTATAAGAATTTATGGATTTCAAAAATTAGAAAGAAAGAGAATACAGAAAACGTTTAGATTTCATTCCAAAAAGATGATCCTTAGAAGGATGAGGTACACTTATATAATTACAAGTACCTACAGCTGTATCAAGAACATCAAATCTAACAAATTAACAGAATTTTGCTGACTCACACCATCTACTCATTTGGACTATTCAACCTAACCCACTGCCTCCTCCAAGCCCAACTCACACCCCTTATCTGTTGGAGAGATAATTGGGTCTATGTCTGTTGTAGCCCAATTGATTTTGCTCCCACGTGCTTTGTCCTGAGCCTTTATTCCATCTGTGCCACTTCTTTCTTCATTAGGTAAAATTCCAATCCCTAACTCTCCCAATTCAATCCGATTTCCCCCCAATTCCTCTCGATCGAACCCTAACTCTCCTGTCATCATAACAAACAATTTATGGTTTCATTATTAAAATGCTTTCCAAATTTGATTCTGATAAAATTGTTCGGTTCATTCATGTTATTCGTTAGTAATATTTAGTATAAAATCTGCCAATTTTGCGTCATATTGATGATGCTTTTCTATATATTAGAGATATTGGTTTGGTCCTTCTCCCATAATTTTCCAAACTCTAGTATTGTATCTTCTCATTTAATAGGTTAAATTATGTAAAATAAGTTGAATAAAAATTTCCCTTCCCAATGAAAACACATAGACTGATGCAGATGTCTTCACTAAGCTATGTAACACATGTAACTTGACCTTTTTACTTCAACTCTAGTTTCTCTTTTGAGGTTAGAAATGTTGAAGAAATTAACAAGTTTCTACTTTAAATTTCTTTTGAACTTCAGAAAAATGTTAAATGGGTTAGATTCGGCATGCCTTAGATGTAAAACTTGCCATCGGTAAATGGTTTGTTGTGATGATACTGATTCTATTTACCCCCCCAAAGTTTTGCCCTTCTCCCAGTTTGCTTTCTGAACTTCTGTCTATCCCAACTGAATTCCTATGTGTTCCCCATAAGTGATTTCATCCAAATAAATGATGAAATAACGACATTATAGCTGCTTGGAGAGCCACGTGAATTTAAAATTCTGTCAACTTTTGTTTTCCATTTCTTTTCCTTGGGTTGTTTCTTGGTTTAATTAGAACGGGAATACTATGAAAAATGAACAGCATTAAAGAAAAGAAAAAGATAAAATGAGATGGTGAAAAATTTTAATTGATTTTTCATGATGGCTTAAATAGTTATCATGCCTTAATTTCCTCATTTGTTTGAGAAAAAAAATATTAAGGTGACCATATTGTATAGAATCTAGAAGGCCGTGTGGCAAATTGACACAGTTTGAGGTTTTGTGAGCTATGCAAACTAAATGTGTAGATTTAGTGACTGTCTGTAGGTTTTTCCAAACTACCTCATACTTGAACTACTCGCCACTCTTATAGTTGGACTTGTGCCTTAATGATCACCGTGTACGAAGAGAGATGTGGAACATTTTTTTCTAAACTAAGAAGGAAATGGAATGAAAACATTATAGTCATGTTTCTTTTAAGTGGTTTGTGCATTTTGACATTTGCAATACATTATACCTGTATGTGCTTAAGCTTGAGCTTTCTTTTAATTTAGTCTTAGTGGATTTTGTATGTACTAAAAACATATTTTGGTATGTCAAAATCTGCACAATAATTGACTCTGCGTAAATAATCAGAATACTTGAAAAGTCAAGGGGCTAAAAGAACTAAGGGTGTTAAGACAGTTCTTTTCTTTTGGATGTTTTAGTATCCTTTGACGAGTTAGTATCCCTGAATATGATGGTTTTAGAGCTTTTTTCTTCTTCTTTATTTTGGTCTATAGTGCCTTCTCCTATCCTAGAGGAAATGTCCATAACCAGAATCTGTAGTTTGTTTAGGGCTCATCATATTACATTTTTAAATGTATGTTTAGTCACCCCATCCTTTTATCTTGAAAAACAGGTTATTTCTTCTAGGTTTGGAAAAATATGGGAAAGGTGACTGGCGAAGCATATCTCGGAACTTTGTTGTCACAAGAACGCCAACACAAGTTGCAAGTCATGCACAAAAATATTTCATTCGATTGAACTCCATAAACAAAGATAGGAGGTGATCTAGCATCCATGATATTACCAGTGTTGGCAATGGAGATATTTCAGCACCCCAAGGACCGATCACTGGTCAAGAAAATGGTGCAGCAGCCGGAGTTTCTTCGGGAAAGTCAGCCACACAGCCCTCTCAACATCCCACTTCGCCACCTGCTGTTGGCATGTACTGTACTCCAACTATAGGGCAACCAGTAGGTGGTCTCCTTGTCCCTGCAGTTGGCAGGCCAGTGAATCTTCCTGCTCCGACACATATAGGCAACGGAGTCACAGTTCCCAGTGCACCTATGAACATTGGTCCTGCAGCATATCCAACAACCGCTCATATGTAACATGATGTTTAGCTGCCATATAGATAAAGGATAGAATACTACTCGCTTATGCGGATATTGGGTTACTGGGTTTTCCATTCTAACCCGAATAAGATAAGCTTATTTGCAAAAACAAGTTGTATCTGTAATTTGTTTAATCTCTAAATAAGCCATAGAGAGAGAGTTTACATGTATCTATATTTAGGCAACTGTGGAATAGGTAAATGTTAAATGTTAAA